AGCTGTATATCCTTTTGACATAACTTTGTAAGTTTTTGAGAAAAAGCCTTTTTTATATCAGACAACCCAGAACTTCCCAGTTTTCAGTTATTTATTCATTCAATAAATATTTAGGTGCTAGTTTTATTGTGTTCTACTTTGGGACATACAGTAATGAATAATACAACAGTAAAATGGTCTCTGCCTTCACGGATTTTGTTTTCCTGGAAGTGGGAACAAGGGATGATAGCGCAGTAGGAGCCATGATGGGGGAAGCAAGGCGGGTTCAGGAAGGAATCTGGGAGGAAGTGATGTCTTGGCTGAGTCAGCCCAATAATGTGGTGAAGGAAGGGCTGGGGCACTATCACTTACCAAGGCCCAGAGGTGACGGGACCCGGTATGTTTGGGTAACTATAGGTAGTCCAGACTGATTGGAGTTGAGTGTGAGGTAAAATGTGAGAGGTGCATGAGCTAGACCTTTAAGTTGAGTTGGGTAGTCCTATGTTTCCCAAAACTAGCTTGATTATAAGACTCTTTAGGGGCATTTGTTAAGAATGAAGATTCCAGCTTCCTCCCCTGGAGGTTTTGATATAAGCTTCTGATACAAACAGATACAGTAAAACCCTTCCATTTGACTCTTTGCTTTCCTTGGGATTTGGTTATACTATAGAACATTCATATCCCATTCTCATGAATAAGGAGAGCCATAAAGTGCAAAGAAGGCTTAATCCTTTCTTATCCTTTCCCTATCTTTCTCCTGTACCTCTTGGGTACCCAGTGTCCCATTGGTTCCCTGTCTGTTCACGAATTTCACTGGGCTTTCTAACTGGGGCCAGAGTTCTGCCTGGATATTTAGTTAGGGCTCTCTGTATCATTTCTTTTCTTTTTTAAAATTTAATTAATTAATTAATTTCTGGTTGCGTTGGGTCCTCGTTGCACGCAGGCTTTCTGTAGTTGCCGCAGGCAGGGGCTATTCTTTGTTGTGGTGCACGGGCTTCTGATTGCAGTGGCTTCTCTTGTTGTGGAGCGTGGGCTCTAGGTGCGCGCGCTTCAGTAGTTGTGGCACGTGGGCTTTGTTGCTCCGCCGCATGTGGGATCTTCCCAGACCAGGGCTCGAACCTGTGTCCCCTGCATTGGCGGGTGGATTCTTAACCCCTGCATCACCAGGGAAAACCTCTGTAATTTCTGGGTGGGCTTGAAACATTGTCTGACATTAGTATAAAAATGACATTTTATTGTATTTCTTTTAATGAAATATTCTTGAAATGAATGATAGTGAAGAGTAATCATTTCTAGTTCAGAATTCCCAAAGTGATATTCCAGTCATTTCAGTTTCTTCACTGGGGGCTTTTCTATTTTGTATTTGCCAAACTACCATATTTTCTGATCAGGAAATTACTGTGACATTTATATAGGGGAAGTATTAAAAAAATGAAGGCTATTCTTAGGCACTGTATGAGGATTCTCCTTACATAAATTAGGGAAGATGGCTGCTTCAGAAGAAGGGAAACATATGGGAAGTTTGGTTGAATATTGGTACAATAATATTTTAATAAAGTTCTAAGGTTATTAATTATATCTTAACTTTTAGAAATTATGTTTGGATTTGGACTGCTATTAGATTTTTAAAAAATGATGCTCTGGCCAGGACTTCTTAGAATTTCTGAATCCTGTAACATCCCTCTGCTCTCTCTACATTTTCTTCAATACATTTAGAGTGATGTATTTTCACAAGGATCAGACTGGCAAAGGGAAGCAGAGTGATACTTGATTCTTGACTAGTTCCTGAAACTTCAGTGTAGAGATTTCTGGCAAACTGGTCTGAAGCATTTGGAGTTCCTATTTTCCTAAAGTAGTTAGCTTTGGACTTGTGTGATATCTGCTCTATTTCATCTTTTGTGGTGACAAATCTGACTCTGCACTGGAGAAGGAGTCTGAAAAGAGTGAGTTATACCAGGTGCACTACCTTTTTTCTGTAGTTACTTTTCCACTAGCAAGCATTGCCTAATAAATACCCTGCAAAAAGTCTCATCAGTCAGATTAGTAATGTTTCTGTTTGATCAGATGGGGGTGGAACTTTCCTTTCCTAGCTGTTAACATTCGTTTTATCAGTGTTTCTCATTAAAATATTTCATAGAAGTAAATGTTTAGACATTAAAATTACCTGCAGTGATTTGCTGATGGGTTATTTATTAAATGTTCTTGGACATGTGTTGGCATTCTTTCTTAAAATTATTGGTTTGGTTTTGAATAATTAATATTTAATGGTTCCAATTTAAAATATTTAGGCTGAGATAGTAATATAGAAACTAAATGAGTAAAAGAAAATCAGACTGAATAAATTTAACAAAAGAAGTGTAAAACTTATACTCTGAAAACTACAAAACACTGTTGAAAGAAATTAAGGAAGACTAAATAAATGGAAAGATATCCTGTATTAAAGGATCAGAAGATTTATCATTAAGATGTCACTATTCCTTAAATTGATCCACAAACTCATTGCAGTCCTCATAAAAAGACTGGCTTTTTTGAAGAAATGGATGGGCTGATCCTAAAATTCATATGGAAATTCGACCCAGAGTAGCTAAAACAGTCTCAAAAGAGAACAAAGTTGGAAGACTCACACTTCCGAATTTGAGAACTACAAAGCCACAATGATCCAGATTGTGTGGTACTGGCATAAGAATAGACATATAATCAGTGGGATAGAATTGAAAGTTAAAAATTAAACCCATACATCTGTGGTCACTTGATTTTTCACAAGGATACCAAGACCATTTAATGAAGAAAGAATAGTATTTTGAACAAATGGTGCTGGGACAAGTGGGTATCCATATGCAAAAGAATGAATTTGAACCTCTGCCTCATACCGCATAATAAATTAACTAAAAATATAGCCCTAAATGTAAGATCTAAAACTGTAAAACTTTTAGAAGGACACATAGGTATAAATCTTCATGAACTTAGATTAGGCAAAGCCTTCTCAGGTATGACACCAAAAGCACAAGTGACAAAATAACAGACAGATATATTGGATTTATCAAAATTAAAACCTTTTGTGCCCCATTAGATACGACCAAGAAAGTGAAATGACTACTCAGAGAATGGGAAAAAAAAATTTGCAAATCATATATTTCATAAGGGACTTGTATCTACAACATATAAAGTACTTATAACTCAATAATGAAAGACAACTCAATTAAAAAATGGGCAAAGTGACTCATAGGGGGAAGAGGTTTCTTTTTGGAGATAATGAAAAACTGACTGTGGTGATGGTTGCACAACTAAGTTGAATACTTTAATGGATGAATTATATTTCAAAAAACCCGTTATATTAAAAAAAGAAAATAGAACTATAACGTGCATGTATAGAAGGGTAGAAATTTTGTGAGAACCAGGTGATGGAGGAAATAATTTTAATTGTGACATCAAGGCAAGGGTTGATTGAAGTGAGATTAAGAGAAATCTTTGCTTCACTTTTTGGTCAATAAATATTACTTTCACCAAAAACCTGGAAAAACCCTTCCTTTTTTTTTTTCTATGAGCAGAAATGAAAGATGACTGTAAATATTGGTATAAGATAATTTGTGCTGGTTCACTTTGCCTTTTTTGAATCAAAAGTTGCTGCCAGATCTTACAAAGGCAGCATAGGTGAAATAAAAAAACTCACGCTGGAGGCCAGAGTTCCCTAAAGTGGCCTTTTATTCAATTCAAGGCAGCAATTTTTTTTTTTTTTTTTCGGTACGCGGGCCTCTCACTGTTGTGGCCTCTCCCGTTGCAGAGCACAGGCTCCAGATGCGCAGGCTCAGCAGCCATGGCTCACGGGCCCAGCTGCTCCGCGGCATGTGAGATCTTCCCGGACCAGGGCACGAACCCGTGTCCCCTGCATCGGCTCTCAACCACTGCGCCACCGGGGAAGCCCTACAGCAAATTTTGAAATGAAAACAAAGTTTGATTTATAGATTCATATAATTTAGGCTTTGTTCTAGTTACTATGGCTATATATTACCTATCCCCAAACAGTCATTTATTTTGTTTATACCTTTTTTGGGTCTAAAATTAGAACAGCGTCCAGTGCTTATGTCTTGACTTTCCTGCATGATGTCTCAGGCGTCCATTGGAAGACTCAGAGACTCAGGGCTGGATCATTTGTTGCCTTGCTCACTTACATGTTTGGTAATTGCTATTGACTTTCAGCTGATGGACTCAGTTTCTCTGGGTATCGGTGTCTCTGTGTGGTTTCTCCATATCAGCTAGTTTGGGCTTCTTCACAACAATGGTGTCCAGGTTCCTAGGGCAAGCATCCTGAGAGAGTGAGAGCACAGACAAGCTGTCCCACATTTTATCGCCCACCTTCAGAAGTCAGGCAGTGTTCCTCTGCCACATTCTATTCATTGAGGCAGTCACAGTGTCCTCAGGTGCAAGTGGAGGGAAAGAATCTTTAGTTCTTGATGGGGAGGGGCAGCATACTAGAGGCACATAAAAATACTGGTCTGGAAGTACTGTTGTGTCCCTTTTTTGAAAAACACAGGCTGCCACAGACCTGGAAGGGGAGCTTAGAGATCAGCTGGTCCAGTTCCCCCTTTTATAGATGAGGACAGTGAGGCTGAGAAGAAGGAATGTAACATGGCCACGGTCATGGCCTATGGTTGGTGGTCAGACTGGGGCTGGAATTTAGCTTTCCTGACTCTGGGCTAGGGTCTTCCCTACTATACCACTTTTTTTCATTTTGCGGAATACATAGTTCATTCACTCAAGTCATGAGTGGTCCTCGCCTCAGAGTTTTCTTAGGCTAGCAGATAGGATGATATAGGCAAAACTGCTGACATCGTGCTTGGCATGGAGCGGGCACGCAGAAAGCATTTTTAACCCTTCTTCCCCACTTTGTGTTTTATCCAAAGAGGGCCTTGTTGACATGTTGTGTATAGACTGTGCCAACACAATGGAATAGAGTCACTTCCCCAGCATGTGGAAATTAAATGGTAAATCTAGTTGAAGATTTTTTATTTGCCCCTTTTCAGGTGCTCAGAATTTTGATGTCATACGACTATCAACTTACAGAACAGCTTGCAAATTGCGATTTGTGCAAAAACGATGCAACCGTAAGTCATTTCTACTCATTTCTATGATAGCTGGATAGAGCTCTTGATAATATAGAAGATTTTAATGTGTTTTAGTCATATTGTAATGTTAATTGAATTATTTTGTCTTAAGTGTTTATCAGAATATAAGCTTTGTAATGGAAAGAGCTTGTTAATTTATTCTGGGTGTCCCTCAAAATATTTAAGAAACTCAGTAAGGTAACTAGTTTTGAGATTAATTAGTTCTTTATTTTTTTAAAAAATGATTTATTTATTTATTTATTTATTTATTTATTTATTTATGGCTGTGTTGGGTCTTTGTTGCTGTGCGCGGGCTTTCTCTAGTTGCGGTGAGTGGGGACTCCTCTTCCTTGCGGTGTGCGGGCTTCTCATGGCGGTGGCCTCTCTTGTTGTGGAGCATGGACTCTAGGCACACGGGCTTCACTAGTTGTGGCATTCGGGCTCAGTAGTTGTAGCTTGCAAACTCTAGAATGCAGGCTTAGTAGTTGTGGCGCATGGGCTTAGTTGCTCCGCGGCATGTGGGATCTTCCCGGACCAGGGCTTGAACCCGTGTCCCCTGCATTGGCAGGCGGATTCTTAACCACTGCGCCACCAGGGAAGTCCCAAGATTAATTAATTCTTTGAATGGGAGAATTGATTTCTCCTTGTCACTGTTTTTAATACAGAGTTTTATGTAAAATTAATACAGTTTATCAGCTTCTGGAGAGAAAGAAAAACTAATAATTTGATAAAGGCGTAATAAAAATTAACTTTCTTGTTTAAACTTAATATAACACAAATCAGCCTTTTCTCTAAGCAGTTGCTTCCACAATTGCTACTTATAAAATACGTAAATTAAAATATTTGTAAAATGCATATAAAATCTTTCTTAATTTGTGTGCAGATGAACTAACTTAGAATTATTGTACTTTTCTCAGGTATGTGTGTGTGTGTGTGTGTGTGTATTAATGAAAAACTGTTTTGTGTAATGGAAAGAACATTAGCCTTAGAATGGGAAAACCTGTTTTACTCCAGGTTTTGTTTGTCATTTATTATAAACCCGTGACCTTGGACAAGTCACTTTATATTTAAATACTTCTACACTACTTTAAGTCCTACTCAAAAATCCTAGCTTAAAATTCTCTCCAAAGAGTTTACCATACCATCCTAGACTGAAGTCATGTTTCTTCTCTGGTTTCCCAAAGCATTGTTTTCAAATTATGGGTTGTGACCTGTTAATGGTTCCTGAAACTGTTTTGGTGAGCTGTAGCCAGAATTTAAAGCATGTAATGGAGAAAAAAAAAGAGAAAGAAAAAGAAGTCAGAACGTAGCTTATGTGGTAAAGTATTTTGTGAAACGTGTTTTTTATATATCTAGAGGCGTGTGTGTGTGTTGATTTAAATATATTTGCATGTTGTTGTCAAAAAGTTTGAAAACCGCTGTCCTACAGGAACTACCATTTTTATACTTCTTCCCATAATTATTCTTGGAACACAATAGTCTATGTGTGGGCTGAGCCAGGCTAGTGGCATTAGTAATATAAAGTAAAAAATGCATTGTTCTAGCAGTTTTATTTTGTCACATATGATTCTTCAGTCCACCTGAAATTTTTTTTACTCCAGATTATAAGTAGGAGTCAGATTTCATTTTTTCCATATATATGTTCAGTTGACCCTACACTATTTATTGAAAAGACCATCCTTTTTCTTCATTACTAAAAAAATCTTTTTCTCATATTCATTAGGAGAAATGTACAAGAATGTTCATAGCTGTGTCCATATGTGAGAGGATCTGCTTTTGGACTTTTTGTGTTCCATTGGTCTGTTTGTCTATCCTTATACCAATAATCACTGTTAGAGCTTTATAGTATGTTCTGGGTACTTTTGTTCTATTTTACTTTTTAAGATTGTCTGAGACATTCTTGGCCTTTTTACATTTATTTTCACACAAATTTTAGAATTTGCTTGTTAATTTCTACTAAAAATGAACAAAAACAAAGATTTGTGCTGGGATTTCTTTCCTTCATTTTTTTTTAAAGTATAATTTACGTATAATAAAATTCATCCTTTTAATGTATAGTCCTGTGGGATTTTGTTGGGACTACACTGAATCTGTAGATCAAGTTGGGGAGAATTGATGTATTTCCAGTGTTGAGATTTCATTTCTGTGGACCTGATATATCCCTCCATTTATTTAGGTCTTTAAGTTTTGCTAATTTATATATTTTTTGGTAGAGATGTTGCACATCCTTTATTGGATTTATTCCTGAGTCCTGGTATATATTTAGAAATACAGTGACTTTCATATCTTGATTTGTACCTAGCAGTCATTCTAGACTCAAATATTAATTTTAGTGATATACATGCAGAATCTTTATGATTTTCAATGTGTGTAATTTTGTCATTTCTGAATAATGACAGTTACTTTTATTTCCAGTACTTGTACTGATAATTACTGCATATTTATATAGGTTAGGATTTGAAATACGCTAGGAATGATGACAGTGGGCATTTCTTATCTTATTCCCAATATCAGAGGAATGGCTTTCAACATTTTACTATTAAGTAATTTGCTGCAGTTTTTTGTAGATATACTTAATCAGATTAAGGAAATTTCCAAGTAGTGTGTTTATTCATTTCTAAAGTTTATTTTAAAAGTTTTCTTTTTGATAATGATTTCTGACAATTTCATTTTGATCACAGAGCATGGCTTATATGATTTTAATCCTTTAAAACTTATTGGGATTAGTTTTATGACTCAGGATAAGGTCAGTTTTTTTACATGTTCTTTGTGTTATTGAAAATAAAGCATATTTTCTAATCACTGGGGGCAGGACTTCATATAGTGTCCATTATGCCTGCCTTGTTAGTTGTAAGTTTGTCTATGACTGTACTTATTTTTTTTGTATGTTTGCTCTGTCACTTGCTAAGAGAGGTGTCTTAATATCTCCCACAAAGCCTGTGAATTTGTCTCTTTGAGGTTCTGTTACATTTTCATTGTGTATTTTTGAAGCTACAAAGGGGAGGCAAAACTTTACCTGTACTCTCTCAGGGTCTCCAGCGGAGCCTGAGAATTAAATTGACATAAGACAGAGTAACAGGAGAAAAGCATATGGATTTTTACATGTACATGGGAGCCCCCATAGGAAAATGAAAACCCAAAGGAGTGAGTGGGCCTAAGTGCTTATATACTAAGTTGAACAAAGAGTGGCAGTTGTGGAAAAATAACTAAAATATGTCAGGAGACTAAAGATAAGAGCTATTTTAACAAAGTCTGCAGATTTCACTCAGACTCAATTCACCGTCTCTGGCGATGAGGATGTTTCTTTCCTCTTGGAATAGGGAGGGCATTTTTCACATGGGACTTTTACTTCCTGCTTTTGGGAAGAAAAGGGGAGGTCAGAGTGTCCTTCTTGGCATCTGCTGTTTTTCAGGCGTCTTTAGCTCAAACTACTCCGTATGCCAAAGTGGCATATCTTGGGGTGACATATTCTGCCACCCTTCACTATTCTATTAAATATAAGTAAATGTAAAGTTCTTATATCTTTCTGCTGAATGAAAACTTTTGAACTGTTACAAAATAAACACAAAGTTTGTGTTGACAAAATAAACACAGAGTTTATTTTCTTTGTGTTCCAGTCCATCTTGTTGATATCTGGAACATGATTGAAGCCTTCCGAGACAATGGCCTTAATACACTGGACCATACCACTGAGATCAGTGTGTCTCGCCTCGAGACCGTCATCTCATCCATCTACTACCAGCTGAACAAGCGCCTTCCTTCTACTCACCAAATCAGTGTGGAACAGTCCATCAGCCTCCTCCTCAACTTTATGATTGCTGCATATGACAGGCTAGTAGCTGCCCTGCTTAATCCATTTTAAGAATGTTTCTCTTCTAATCATCCTTCTTCTGTACTGCCTTGCCAAGGGTTGTCAACTTAGAATCACAGTTAAAAGGGAAATGAATTAGTACAAGTCCCTTCTAAAGACTGATTAAATGCCAGAGTGACTTACTGTCTTGGGGCATGTCACATATTAACCTCTGTAACATTAGGGAGATTCACAACACTTGAGACATAATTGTTTGGTAAAATTGTCGGTACCTTAATATAGCTGTTCTCTATGCAGTGAAATATAGCCAAGTGGTACATTTGATTATGAGGCTTCCTATTTGACTTTTAAACTAACTTTTCTTTACTATGTAATAGCAATTGCCTTTGGACTATAGTACCTTGTTTTCTCTTTATTTATGTTTAGGATTCTATTTTAATTCTTTTCAATGTAGAACATTGTGTTCTAAACCTTAAAACAATAGGAGAAAACTAAATGTCCTCCAAATTAAAACAGAAATGAGTTGTTATATTTGTATTTATGGAGAATTAAGTTGGTATGATAAAAATAAAAAAGAAATCATAAATGATGGAAGCACAGAGGTTAGTATTTATTTTCCGGGAACCAGGAGTTCAGGTGTCTGATCCCTGCTGTATTATCAGCAGTGTGATTTGGATGGGTTAATTCTCTCTGCTTCATTTTTCTCTCTGTAGGAAAATGAGTTCATATATTTGTAGAATGCTATTAGTTATACTTCATAATATTGAGGGTTCTGTGAATTAATGGTAAAACCATACAAGTGTCAAGGTCAAGTCACAACATAGGCACTCACTAAATTCACTTTTTAAAAGAAATTAATTAATTTATTTATTTTTGGCTGTGTTGGGTCTTCGTTTCTGTGTGAGGGCTTTCTCTAGTTGTGGCGAGCGGGGGCCACTCTTCATCGCGGTGCACAGGCCTCTCACTGTCGCGGCCTCTCATTGCGGAGCACAGGCTCCAGACGCGCAGGCTCAGTAGTTGTGGCTCACGGGCCCAGTTGCTCCGCGGCATGTGGGATCTTCCCAGACCAGGGCTCGAACCCGTGTCCCCTGCATTGGCAGGCAGATTCTCAACCACTGCGCCACCAGGGAAGCCCCCACATTTTTATAAGATGTTATCAAATTAGATATTCCATCCATTTAATAAAAAATTATTTAAAGAAATTTGAATTTTTAAAACATGAGTGTGCATGTAGCATATGTCCCAGAATTCTAATGCCATTTTTTTTTAGCAGTTAATCTGGTAGGTTAAGTTTATACTGTCCAAGGAATGACTCTTCTGATCTAAAAACCTTAGTAAAAACCATTATTCTGTGGTGAGTAAGCAGCACCTTATTGTGACACTGACTCACTGAGTAAGTCACTTCAGGGCCACACAACACAAATTAATTTAAGAAACTTTTTAAAGTCAGGAATAAAAGTCATCTTAGAGCTAAAAATGATAAAGCAGAGATTATGAACTTTGACTCCATAATTATATCAAATAAGTACTATGGCTAAAGAAGGGAGGAGAAGAGAGAGTGAAGAGATAGCAAAAGGGAGAATGGGAAGACCAAAGGTAAGGGCAGAAGGTACAGAGGTGTCCTGGGACACAGTGGGAGAAAGCTGGACACAGGCAGAAAGAGACAAAGGAAAAGAAAAAAGAGACAGTAAATCAGCAGGAGGGCACACTGAAGAGAACTAGGAAAGCAAAAAGATGAATGAGCTAAGAGTAAAGAATATAGTATGGCAGGGGTGAGTTTGGTAATTCTCAAGTCATATCCTGTTTAAAATGTTGACCGTGGGCATCAGAATAAATCATCACATCTTTACTGACCTTGAACTCTTCATATGATAAGAGCTTATTTAGTTAGCTCTCCGGAAATTTGAAATTGGCTTTCATGTACTGGAAAAAAGAAAGGATCTGGTTATCAGAATTTTATTTTTGAAAATCAGGGCATTTTGTTGTTAAACACTTCCAAAGGTAGTAGTCTCTTTAATAGATTGGCCACTTTGTTATTTAGGCTGGAGAGTCCCTTTGGTATGTAGAATTCCTATTATTTTAACTGATCTTTTCAAGCTTTTGTATTTCATAATTTCTCAAAGTTAAAATTTGAATACAGCAATTAACTTAATTATTAAATTCCCTCACCTCCAAATTCATAGTCAAATTTTTGGTCAGGTTGTTTCTGATTATTATAATAGATTGTGAGACCCTAAAACAATCATCAGGAACAAATAGGGTCTAAGACTTTCTCCCTTAAGCATGTATTTTCTTAGGAATTAATTTTTTTAATACTTAGATTTAAAATATTTCACACTGGACAATTAAAAACATTGAAAAGTATGAAGAATGATACTATAAACATCTGTGTGTAGACTTTAAGCTATGAGGAATAGCCAAAACATTCTGTTAGCCTCAGTTTTTTCCTGTTTCAGGTCCTCAGTACCACAGTTACAGTACCATAGGTACATGGTCTGGTCCGAAGGTACAACAGGTGATGCTCTAACCAACATTTTTTTCTTCTTTTTGATAACAAGGATATCCAAATTCCCAGTGTGAGGGATAGGAAACCTTCCTTCCTCTTCTTCAGTTGAGCTGATTTAGTGATTTAGAGCTTGGGATTTATAAAACTCCTTTCTGTTTCCAACCTCGGTGTTAGTTCCACATCTTCAACTATAAGCAATAGAAAGCCTACTCAGATGGGCTTTCACAGTAACTGGAACAATAGGCTCACATAACAGAGGAGCCAGAGACAGGACTGTGGTTGAATCAGGGCCCTGGCTGCATTTCTTCTTTTTTTTAAAAATATTTATTTATTTGGCTGCGCCGGGTCTTTAGTTGTGGCATGGGGGATCTTTTAGTTGAGGCATGCAAGATCTTAAGTTGTGGCATGCAAACTCTTAGTTGCGGCATGTGGGATCTAGTCCCCTGACCAGGGATCGAACCTGGGCCCACTGCATTGGAAGCGTGGAGTCTTAGCCACTGGGCCACCAGGGAAATCCCTGCGTGTCTTTATAGTGGTCTTGGCTTTGACCTTCTTTTCTATTAGCTTCATCCTTATGCTGACTTCAAAAAATGCCTGCTACAGCTACTAAATGCTTCCTGTCAAGTCTAGGTGGGGGAGAGAGCCGGTTTTCTTTCAACACTGAACAAAAGTACCTGAGCCTCCACCGGGTATGTGCGTTTGGGCCATGTATGTGTAAGTGGTAGGCTTTTTAGCTGAAACAAAGGATTTGTGCCTTTGGGGCAGAGGATAGTTAAATTCTCGCCCTCACCCTGTGTTGCCTCCTCATGGGGATGGCTGGACTAGATATGAAGGTGATGACCACAGTGTTCACTACTGAACTCCTTGAAGTGCATTATAAACTTGTGGTTCCCTTTCTTGTTAAATAGTCCTACTCCCCATCCAGTTCCTTAAACCTGAGAGTCATTATAACTCTTCCTTCTCTGTCAGCTCCCACATCCAGTCGGTTACCAAGTTCTTTCATTTCTACCTCTTGAATATCCTTCAGGTCTATGTACTTCTCTCCATCCCCGCTGCTACCATCCCAGACCACCAGCATCATCTTTCGCCTGGATTACTGCTATAGCTTCTAAGTGATTTTTTTTTATATACTCTTTTTTCCCTCAAACATTCTTAGAAATAATAAACATCCACCAACCCACTATCTGACCCAGGAACTTGAACATTGACAATAATTTACATTTATCTCCTAACCCATCCCACTGAACTGCACTTAACTAAGGCGAACCCTATTCTGATTTTGTATTATCGTTTCCTTGCGTCTTAAAAACCATTTTTGTTCACATGTATGGACATAAAGAAAGTGTTGTTTAATTTTAAATATTTTAAAAAGAGTGCCATACTAATGTACTATTATCTGATTTATTTTTTTCAGCCAGTAACATATTTTAAAGATTCATTCATGTTGCATTTATCTATAGTTCAGTTATTTTAACTGTTATATAACATTCTGTTGTGTTTCTATACCATTCTGGTGTTTTCCAGATTTTTGCTCTAAGGAACAACTCTGCTTGGAATATTCTTATTTGTGTCCAAGTGTTTCTCTTGGTTCTAAACTGAGGAATAGAATTGCTGAGCTGTGGGGTATATGAAAGCTCAGCTTCACTCTGAACTGCTATTTAGAAAGTATAAAATTAATTTTCCAAATTGTACCCATACATAAGAGATCCTTTTGATTCACATTCTGTAAGCCTTAGAGTTCTTGGACTTCTTAGTTTTTGCTAAATGACATCTCATTGTTATCTTGATTTGCATTTTCTTGATTACTGAGCATGTTCATATGTTTCTTGGCCATATTTATTACTTCTGTGAAATGCCTCGTTGTGTCTTTTGCCCATTATTCTAGTGTGTTATTTTTTCTTTTTATATTGATTTGTAAGAGTTCTTCCTATAATTTAGATAACAGTCGTTTCTTGATTATGTGTGTTGCACATATATTGTCCCAATTTATAGCTTGATTTTTTTTTTTACTTAAGATGTCTTCTTCGTAAAATGTTTTTTAAAGAAAAATGTCAAACATATACAAACATAGAAAGAATATTATAGTAACAGTGTGCCCGTAACACAGCTTCCATAATTACCAGTACATGGCCAGTCTTATTTCATCTATATCCCCAGGCTCTCCGCCTCCCTCCTCCCCACTTTCTTGACTTATTTCGAGGCAGATCTCACATGTCGTTACCATTTCATATGTAAATATTCCAGCGCATACATATCTCTAAAAGATGGGATGCCTTAAAAAATTACCATAATGCCCTTATCTCACCTGAAAATTAATATAAATATTCATTAATACGTTAAAATTTCCATTTCACTAATTCTCTTACAAATTTTTATTTTTGTGTTGTTTAATTTGAGACTCAAATAAGGTCCATGTTTGGAGTTGATTTTTTTAAAATTAATTAATTAATTATTATTTTTTAACACCTTTATTGGAGTATAATTGCTCTACAATGGTGTGTTAGTTTCTGCTTT